ACCCAGCTCACCACGAGTTGCCTTGTTTTTCCTTTAGTGGATATGAATTAGGTGTCATCTACTAATAGGTAAAACGAGAAATTTTGTCTGGGTAAAATGGACCTTTGAATAAGTTATGTCATGGTGATTATCCACACTTCAGCAATGAGTTTATTGTAAGGATTTCAATCTATGAATTTAGCATCAAAAGTTCTTTATAAATTTGAAGAGGGTAGATAGTGCATCAAAATTCCTATCGCTTCCATGGACACAGGGATTGGTGTTGATACTTTGAGTACGTTTGTCCACACAACCTACTTTTAAACGAAATTGCTGAAGAATTTCAACATGGCGATTTTTTATTATCGTCACCCACTTAATAGCTGCCGAGGTGTATCGTCTCCACGTCAACGAGAATAAGATGACAACTGCTAAATGTTAAAACAAGGCCATACAACTACTTTAAAAGGCATTAGAAATCCGAAGTGATGGATGCATTTTGCCTACGGTGCCAATCCCTCCTTCTTATTACCACATCTTATGAAAGGGTTTGCTATTTGAGCATTATACTTCATGAGGGGTTCTGGATCTCATGATTTTTAATTTGATGATATTTGAAAAATGAAATAGGAGATTGCAGTAATGTATTCACATGGTACGATTCCGTGTGAATTCCCCTTGTTTCTGTGTCTAAAATTTCCACGCTGAATTGACCAATGTAATGAATGAATATTTTCACCAAAATTTTTCTTAAAAGACAAATTTAATTGCTTCACAGATTAAAAGAGGGACTGGTAAATTTGTATCATAACATGGAATTGATGAACTAGGTTTATCGCATAGCTATTCATCCACCTTATCTACTTACGGCGAATTCAGCGTAATTCCGAGCTTCAAAGAGTCAGAGGTAGACTTCAAAAAACACTACAAGAAGACATCAGACACTTGTTGAGATGTTTGATTAATCGAATACAAGTAGGCCCTTCAGAAGCCAAAACAAAAATGATACACGCTTGATGCTTGTGGCAGTGATGAATGAAAATGAACCCACGGAGAAAAGAAACGCCATACTCCGGCACGCATCACTTTTTTAAGACTGTGGTAAGACAAACTAGACACGTAGTGATGGGAATAGTTGGTGCTTTTGCAAACATATCCATCCCCTGGGCAAACAGCTACAGAGGTGCACAAAAAAATCACTGACTTCACTTTAATCTGCATCGTCTGTAATTACGACAGTGGAATTGCTTATCGAGGTCAGTTGCAAGCAAGGCATGACTCGATAGGTGGTTCTGTCACCAGTGTTACTGGTGGGCAAAATGTGGATGTTCCATCAAAGTATTAACACAAGGTTGTCAATTATAGGAAAATGGTTTTAGTGGCAATGGATCTCCACGAACCACTTTCAATATACTTGAGAGCCAATTGAGCTTGCCAATCTACAGAACCCAATACGTGATTTACCTACTGCTACATAATATAAAAAGAGTGATCAATTAAAAATGACAATGTTAATTTTAGCGACTGAAAACTGCCAATCCGTGACAATGACTCTGACTGTTGTCAGTGTTATGCTATGGTTATCACCGTAGGTGAAAGGTGAATGTGTCAGGTAGTGGGCTCAGTAGGCTACTCGAAAGGGAGGGAAAACAAACAAGTCCCAAGTTGACTTTTCTAAGTGTGCTTGATAATAATGATCAATGACGCGGGTGTGTGTGCAGATGCGTGTGTGTGTGTGTGCAAAGTCATAGAATGCTGAATCATGATTGTTAGGGTGTTTTTTTCTTGCTCCTCCCTAGGTCCCACCTCCCTTCTGCTTTGCCCCTTTTTGTCGCCCGTGTGTCGTCGTGACTAACCCCTGATTCACTGTGCGTGCGTTCGTGTGTGTGTGTGCAGGCACAACCTGAGTGGGGCGTTAATGTCTTTTTTTGAAATGATACTAACGATGCTGCCGCCACTGCCGCCCTTCTACTACAGGTGCATGCACGCATGGCCCGTGGTGATAGCAATGCTTGTGGGGGATGCGAGCATTTGACAAAAACCCTATCATGACATCAGGTCCCACTGGCCTGATTGCGAATGGGCACACATTGGTGGGATTTAAAGGTTAACGGGGGTGATGGGGTGCACTTCTCTCTCTCGCTCTTTCGCTCTCTTCCTCCCTCCTTGCTAGAGAGTCCCGTCCATCTCTGCCGTTCGCACGGTTAAAGATGGACTTAAAAAGGAGTCAGCAATGTATAGTGGGATTGCAACGTGTGTATGTCAGTGATACACGAATTGCTGGACCACCTTTTTAAAACGATAAATCATACAGGCAGCTCACTAAAACACCCCAATAAAAGTGGCAGCGTCGGCAGACATAGCTTGGTGTACACACGTGTGTGTATTTGTATAAACACATCCCCACACTCAAGGGGAGGGTTAAAAACTACAAAAGAGATATAGGGATAGAGGGAGAAGTGCCCACACAGGAAAACAAATCTCTTCCGCGGGTATTTTCAGAATAGTGGTGCGGCGATATTATTGCACATTCTCCCGTCCTTCCAAATATTATTTACGCATCTGGGGCACACATAAACACGACCACATATAAATGCAAACTATATGCCTTCAACCTAGACCAAGTTTTATCGATGCTGCAAAAGTCAATGCTTTAAATCGTCTGAAGGTAACAGCACTTTGAACATTGGAATTACATGCAGAAATTGTCTGTGACTCTAATGCATGCCTTGTACTAAACCATTTGTCTTCAGTGTTAGAAGTAAACGTCCTCAGACCTTTGGACGGGCGCTTTGATTAGACTTAGAAAAGGGGTGAAATGTATTTTTGGAAATCTGGGCCATCTTCAAGACCTCAGAGTGTGGTTGTACAGGGTCGAATTTCTCGCTTCGTATACGCGTGGAAATTTCCGACTGCCTACCACATACTCGTGAGTACCTTCTCAACTTTCACTTCCAAATGTGGACATAAATAAGCTCAGATCCTCATTGAATTCCAAACAGAAATTGCGACTGTACTAGTCTCTACTAGTTGAGATCGGTGACTTGATCTCCACTGGCTGGGGTAAACTTCATGCATAAATTTAGAAGTCAATTTTGGAGGTCGTGCCATCTTTAGAAATGCACTTACTATTTTAAAGTTCCGAATTTTGACGAAAAACTTACTGAGTGCATTTGCAGCAAAACACTTTGATTCAGGAAGGAGAATGTCATGCTTTGAATTATGCAGAGGTGTACTGAGTGGTTACGGATAAGGCTTAGCCATAATGGAATGGTATGACCATTGAAGAAAGGGATGTGTCATAGCGAATCGGAACCGTTAGAATTCATAAAGTTGACGCAACTGATAGTTTTAACTTAAAATACGCAGGTAAACTTTGAATTAAGTCTGTCACAAACTTATGCCTGTACTAAATCTACGGTACAAGCGCAAAGCATTTCGTAACGCCGTACAAAGCTCTAGGCCAGTTGAGATAATCCTGATGAAATTTTTGGATACGCACTACAGTGTTCTTTCGTTTATTCCCCTCTTTAAAAGGCAAGAGTAACAGCTTGATATTTGGAACTCCCGCAAGAATAGGACAATGGTGCAAAGGTGAAAATAGATTTAGGTGAGACTCGTCCTAAAATCACCACCGCCTGACACGAAACGTGCACCGCCTTTGTCTGGGTAGCGAGTGATGCAAAAAGTTAAGATAAAGCTGACCATTTCGACACTATCTATCGTGTTTATGCCACCCTTACTAAGTCCATCCTACAGGTTGACTTCCTTCATTCACTGCTCTTATTAAATTGTGGTGCTTTGTGTTTGGTAATATTTATTTAATCCAGATTTAGAGCCATTCTATTCGACTATCACGCTTTAAGTACATATTAGCTCAGGCTTGAGTATGCACGTTCAGTGAATTGAAGCTTTTTATGCCTCTACAGCACTTTATGTTTTCACATTTGATTTAGCCTGGCTCTTCTGATGCTATGCTGCATTTAATACCTTGGCAATCGTGCTGAGAACGCTGTATCGGCTACAAAAGTATAGTAAAATTTGACTTATAATACACTAAAATGGTTATTCCCTGAATTGATTGCTTCTAAGACAAAGCATAGAAGTTTGGATTTACACAAAACAAAAGGGTTTGCAAATTTTCATGCTAAAAAGTTAGAAGTTGGCATTAAGAAACACTAAAACAGGTAATTAAGCTTTATTATTCACTTGCGTTCTTAATGGTACAAATATGAAGCAAATTTACATGCTTCCCTTTTGCCGAAGCAAAAGACTGATTTTTTTACGAAATCCAAATCAAACACATGACACATTTCTAACGGCAAATCACACTAAATGACGTATCTCAGTAGAAATCGCTTTTGCCAGCAGAAGAGAAATCTTCACATAAAATCAGTGTCAAAAAATTTCCCACAGTTTTAATCAATTTGTTTCATAAATTGTAGAAAAGTGGTTCACGGCACTTGTGAACCATTTTACAAGGCAGCGTTTAAAAGCCGAATTGTACTGAATAGAAAATCACACCTCTCTATTGTCAATTTTGGGTCGCATTTGTTTTTTAATTTCCACCATTTTGGCTATTTCAAGGCAATATGCCCACGTCGCACGATTTCAACTTGTAGGAATAAAGACTAGTTTCCGGTATTTATGAATATTGTTACACTAAACAAAGTTCAAGGTATCCAGTGGAATCTAGCTTCAAAGATTGGTTTTAAGGTAAATGAATGAATCATCAAAATCCTTTGGATAAGCAGTCTTCACCAACCAAAACAAGCATTAAAGGCCCTGTCCATTACCACTTGGATTTCTCGTCTATTCACACCTGGGTTAGATTAAAATAAAAAAACTCAGGTCAAATCGTAGCAAATGATCAAATGCACTAAAATGTAAATAAAAGGCCTGTTTAGAACTCAAAAGAATTGCAGGTCAGAAAATATGGCGAGTAATTTGGGGACGCGCCTCTTATAATGAAGTACAGATGCTGGTGTTAATTTTAAGTAAGTAGCTTATTAATATTTCAGTAACTCCTCTTCGTCGGCCTGGAAGTCGGCAGTGTCAAAAGCTGCCCCTGAAGATGTGCAAAAATGCGAAACTACGGCACTGAGGAGTCAGTCATGTTTTCTGACTGCTACATCCTCCTATCAGCCATTTGATACATGTGGTTTGCAGACGACCTGGAGTGCATCCAATGATTATCCGCCTCACCCTTCCACATTTCTCGACGATTACAGCGTCTACAGGAGTCCCGCACAAGTCTTCACAGATTCCAATGCACCTTTGGCAGTTTACCAACCAGCAGGTGACTTCGCATCACTTCCAAACTGGAAGCCATCGATCTCTTCACCCTCCCATCCAACATCGTCCTTCGAGAACTACTCAGAGGGTTGTCATAGCGACGAGTACACCAGCACACCACCGACCACATTCAACCCTCACACACAGGTGTTACCACCACCGCCAATACCACTGCCACTGCCGCAACAGCAAGTTCCCCAGGTGGTTCTGCATTGGACGGAGTGAATGAGGGGCCTGCCCTGTGCCACGGTTCTGTGATACGGTTCTGTTTTTAAATCTCCTTTCGTTTTGCTAAAGCCTATGCGAAACAGAAACAATGTGCACACTCGAAACAAAGAACTGATAAAAGCCTCCATGTTGTGTTGCTTGCTGTTCTACTTCAGATAACGCTGCCTAGGTAGTACTATGGAGATGTGACTGCTAGACATGAACAGTTGCGAAATGAAACAAAAATGGTTGTAAAAGATATTTACTTTATTGCATAGTTAATGATCCGCGTTCTTCAGCCTTCTGTGGCTTAATCACCATCTTGATGTACTAGATATTTGCCCTAGGCCAAGGCCTCTAAGATCGCCTAGGTGACTCAGGATCCTACGAAATAAACTACTGGTACCAGTAGCATCATTTTTGCGAGACTAGTCATAACAAATTCACTTACTTAAGGTGCAGTTTTGCATTTCGTGATGCTGAATTGTCAACACATAGTCGTGCCTTAATGCTCCCCACTACCATTTAATCTGATTCGAAAAGCCAGAAAGCAGCCTAGACCATTTATTGGAACGTACTAGACAGCTTTAAAAAGGGATACAATTTGCCGTACCTACACAAATCCATCTATTTGTTTATGAGTATGTTTTACGAGACGTATTTTGGGTGATTTGCCTTTGGTACCACTACGTTCACTTTGCAGCTCTGCTACTAATATAAATTCAGTAGGCTATTTTACATCTACTAAATGAAAATGACTGTCTAGGGGCTATAATTCCTATTTCCAAATGGAGGCTATTTCGAACTACAACTCTTGCATTATTAAAGGTAGAAGCGTGTTAGCATTTCAGAAAAATTAGTGTCAACGCAATTCCTCTTTTTCCAACTTAGAAAGCAATCACTGGTGTTTTTTTGGACTGAATAGGTTTTAAGAAAACATTGATCTGAGATGTTATAAAAGAGAAGAAAAGGCAAAGGCTAAATTCATTAGCAGGATTTGCACATCTTTAGTATGATTTCAAGATTTTCTTCATTTGTTGTAAAACCAGGTTTCGTGGACAAAGTGTATGGAATTATGTGTTGGTTCAACTATTAGATTATATTATCGCCCACATACGTATATTTAGCTAATTCAGCGATACACGAAAACGCACCTCGTGCGACGAAAAAGTATGAGTTTAACTACTCCCAGCTCTAAAAAATTGGAGGGGATTTCAAGTGGCGATGAAAATAAGTCTCAGGTAAATAGCCTGCCACTCCCACAGGTGTACAGTTTTCGACGAACAGTAACCCGGCCGCTGAAGCAGAATGGACAGACACTTTAATTTAATTATTAGTGAAGAATTTTTTAACTTCTCCTTTCCACAGGGAAGCCGAAGTAGGAAGCAAAGCATCAAACAATTCTGTTTTACTGAAAACATTTGTAATTGCAATTCCCAGCTGGATCACCCCTTCGTGCCTTTGCACCACCCACTATTGTGGGATTAATTAAATTAATACATGCAGATCTTTTGAAAAAATAAAGTTAGAGATTAAGATCTGGAATGTTGGGAAGGATTTAATTCGCTTATTCTGAAAAATACGGTGTTATAACCTCGATAAAAAGATCTCACATGGGTGGGCAAATCAAAGACCTTGACATCGACCCTCATAATCACAAAGGGATTCACTTAGACCTAAAAGTGAAAAGTTATAAGAAGTTGAAAAGTAAAGGGTCAGTTAGGTAATGACAATTTTTGACAGACATCAATTGAAAAACAAGACAGAAGCCTGCTTTGAGGTTCAGATATTTAGCATGCCACCATCAGTCTCCTCTGGCAACTGTGAGCACTATAACCGAGAACACAGCGGTTTTGTTTCCTGCTGAAAGCATCTTAATGTTCAAGTGCATGCTGACTTGCAAATATAAAGAATCACTCAAAAATTAGGAAAAAAACTTTCGTACATTAATCATGCCTTGGAGTGGAAACATCTTCTTATTCTTTAATTGCTGGTTTTGAAATGTTTTGTTAGGACCACTTTTAATTAGGCAAAGTTACTTCTTTCAAACACGGATCCATCCAGGTGCAAAAATCAAAACATTAGAGGATTTTTAAATGGCTAAAACTTGCGCTTATGGGTGAGGAAAAAGAAATCCAACATCCTTCTTGACCCGCGGATGCGTACAAGTGCATTCTACTAATGGCTTGCACTTTCACAACTGATGTGTGGACGCAAAGTTGACAAAGTGGGGAAATGGGTAAAAAACTGTTCCGTAAGAAGCTAGCGCAAAGGCAGCTTCGCCTCCCACTCATGACAAGGCGAACTTCCGTGCAAATGAAGATGCGGACAATTCATCCCCACGAACTGTCATCCTGCAAGCACATTTCATTATTGATGTTTCTTGTCAGTGCCCAGATCAACCTGTTCATGTGTTCATCTGTGACAGGCTTTATATCGTGACCAGGCATATTTTTACTGAAAGACACAAAAGAGCGTCTTGTCTACAGCTTAGTACTGCCACAATCAGGTATAAAATCAGGCATTTATCATGCGTGAAGACACTTCACTTAAGTGACAATGCACAGTGAAGTATATAATGATTATTTAAAGGCACAGGAAACAATGGTATTTACTTATACTGCTGCCCAAAAATTGCTTGGAGTATATTTTTAGAGCTTTAAACAAATACTCTAGCAGGTAATAGTAGGCTTATGCATTGCCAAAGAGGTAATCCTACCGATACAGAATGTCATATCTATTATGCATTAAAGCTTCAAGCCAAGAATCGAATAGACTTTGTCTCAATTCCGCATTCTGAATACGTAATGATGAGCCAAAAGAAGTAAAGAACTAGGATGTTATGATGATTTAATTGTTTGTTTAACTTTCGATTTTGATAACGGACCACTTAGGAGCTCCGCCATTGTACCTTCGCTAAGTGGGCTAGTCTCTGAGCCGTGCTAGTAGAATGTATACATTCTGCCAAAGCATAGCGTCTTCTTTCTTATCTAGGGCAGTCTCAGGGTGGTACAGCATATCTCAAAGACCACAAATACGGCGTTTATATTCGTTATTTGTTCGCCATCAACAAAATAGAGCTATCAAAAGCCTGCGACTAAAATAGTGCCCCTATAAATAAATTTAGACACTTTGAATGTTTGACTCACCTCGGAGTAAATAAGCTAAGGTTGGTCCACTTATTTGGTTATTTTTATGTTTTGCTGTTTTCTCTTCCGATATTCTAACTCTAAAATTTTTGGGATTGAGAAGATTAAGGAATTTTTTAAGGGCGTAATCACCTTCTAGATCAAATGACTGCAAATGGACAAAAATAGAATAAATGATACATAGTTATGGGTATCTTTTGCCTCTACACTTTAATTTTCCAAATCACACAATACAGAAGGAAAGTGGAGATTATACCTTTTCTTTGTTTACCCACACAAGAACTTACCTTCGCCTTTTATAAATTTTATTTAACACCAAACACTACCTTAAAATTACCAAAATCCATGTAAGCATACAAGTTCATGAATTGCTTTAAGCTGACGTATCAAAGGCATGACAGCGCTTGCCAAATCGCAATTTTTTTTAGATGAGCCACGGAAACTGGTAGTGGAGATTGAAATAAATTTAATGCCATCTCTTTTCTCGCACAGAGTCAAAAACCCAAATGTTGAAATGAATGAAGATGGAACATAACAGTAATAATCAACCATATGAGCGTGCTATCAAACTATGCTTCGTTTGCCGCCGTCGTCAGAGGATATCTGGGGCATATTTTTAGCAGAACAAACAAGGCGAAGTTTGAATGGGTTGTGGCTAGACACATTAGTGATATGTTTTTATAAGGCTTTGTCCCCACATCAAAATCCTGTCTTCTTAGTTGAAGAACAATGAACATGGCATGCTGTCAAGCGCAGCATTTTACCAACCCTACTGGTTTAGTTCAATTCGCAAAATTTTTTAAAAAATACCTATTTAAATTACTTTCAAAGTCTGATAATTTCTTGCACATTGTAAACTGCTAATCCAATTATGAATGCGAGGAATCATTTATTTAGACTGCCCTTCCGCAAATCTGTAAATGTAGTACTTCTCCTAGACCGCGAATGACAGCGTCAACATTAGTTGGTTCTACTAGTTCATCGAAAAAAGGCACCCCGCTTCGACTTTGTCGCCCATTCTCTGGTTGTTATTTAGATGCACATCGCAGGCGCTTTGCAGCTAGGCAGTGTTAGGTGGTAGGGTAGAAGCAGTAGCTGTGCCATTACACGGGGGGTGAGATTCGGCTCAGCTATGACCCATGCATTCTGATAGCGTTGACACTTGTGATCTTGACAATACGGTTTTATAAGTTTCCTATTACTGTAGAACACAAACTTCTATTCTATTTTAGCTCTTATTGTTCTTTCCAACTCCTGGCTACTGATTTGGTCAACCAAAGTCGTAAGATTTAGTTGAGTCTTAAATATGTTATTAGGAAAATTAGTATAGAAATTCATCATGGCAGGTATAAGAAGGATTTGACGCATTGCTGAATGAGTCAAATGATTTGGTCCATAAAATCTTAATTCTAAAGCTTAAGGCTGTTGTTTATACACCCAGTAAATAAAAATTCGGGTTGATAATTTAAGTGCTCAGTTATTCCTCATGTCACATAGTCAACCCGAATTATACTATCTTATTTAATAGCTCATCAACAAAAAAATAATCAGGGAATTTTAATAACAGATTTTTTAAGTTGCGTAAAATTTATGCTGCTTTTAAGGCGATGGCAATAGGATTGAAGGGGAGAGGTGATGATTCACCTAGAGAGAAGAGGAAGAATAAGGGGGAGTTTTGCAGAGATTGACAATGTTTATGCCAAGTCTTAAAATTCGCTTTTCATCGTGGTTGCAAGCATACCTATGGACATCGCACAGCTTCATTGTACTCCAACCCCCCCCCCGGACAGACAAATTAGTAAACTATTCATTCCAATATAGAAATCGAAGGTCTCCGAGAGTGTTGGATGGTTCACCTTAAAGTGTCGC